ACTGAAGAACTCTGTGTGGCCTGAAAGTTTCTCTCGCCCTCCAAAGTCAGTCCAATAAAAGATATTGCCTCCCCAACCCTGTCTCTAAAATACCCAGACGTGTTTTAACAATGTTCTGTCCAATGATGGCAGCACAACCTGGTTAACAAACACCATTTGAAAGGGATTTTTTAATGTGGAAAGAAGCCAAGAACCAAGTTCACTTCCTCTGGCTGGAGCAAACGGTGCTTTCAAAGGAACAAGCTGTTTGAGAAAAGGAAATGTTGCACTTTAACGCACACAAAGGGTCCTTTTTCAAGGAGGAAAGTAACCCTACCGTTGTTTTTAACCTTACCAACAGCTTCAATGCATCTCCTCACCTTTATTTTCTAAAAACTTTCTAAGACAAATCTTATTCTTTCCTGATTTCTGCAGCTTGCTATAGGTCTGTGGTCACACCTGCAACCCTTGACAGTGCCTTGTACTCTCTTGAGCTTAATGTGGAAGGAGATCAAGTGTCTCATGTGTTCTAAAGGGATACTTCAATCCTTTCCGTCTCTGTGAGCCCTTTATGCTGCCCGGCTCTCCCATTAGCTGGGATGCACGGGGATAAGTGACTGGCACCCACCCACACTACTGCACAGATACATTTACTAGCCCCTCCCTATCCTGCCCTGAACCAGGGAACATAGGTAGCAGCACAATACTTTTTCCTTCTCCTGCTCCACATCCAAACAGAGGCTAGTGCTGAGACCTCAGGGGGTTCAGGAGCCAAGCAGAACTTCCCCATAGTCCGGATACCGCAATGGCACATGAACACAGGACAATGCATGAATTTGTCCCTGCTGCTTCCTCTAGTGTTTACAAAACTGCAGCATTCAGCAATAGCTGCAGCCATGCGTGCAGGACTTTATGGGCCTCATGGCTGCTTTTTGCTGGACTGTTTTACCTTTCCCTCTCTTGACTTGGGCACTGCTGGGTAGAGCATCTATCAGCTGCGTGTACTCTTCTACTGATCTGCACTTTGCCCCAACACACCATTCAGGTATGGGGCAGGGGTTTGCTAATATACAAGTACGGAATTAGTTGAATTTTTCTTCAATATACTGTTAATAATACTCTGCCTTTTTAAAGTTATCTGAGGATCTCAAAGCACTTTGCAAACTCTATTGAACACCTCCAGTCAACAATGGAGCAGCAGAATGATGCCTCCACCACTGTCTGGACACAGTAAAAGTTTGGCTTTTGCTGGCATTTGCCAGCATAAATGTGTGATCGGAAGTAATGTTCAGTAATCGATCCTGGAAGTCATTTCTGGAGCGCAAAAGGAGCTCTCTCCACACTATAGCATGGTTTGCCTCTGTATTGTGGAGAGGCTACTCTGACAGCACCTTGAGACCCATAAATCCAGTCCAAGGTGACACTTCTGTGCCTGACTATGCCTATAGGATTGGACTCAGTGTTACAATCTCATTCTACTGGTGACTTATTAGTCTGTCATAGGGTATGGCTAACAGTTCTCATTTAAAAAAAAAAACTCCCAGTCCATGCTGAGCGGGGAAGCTGTGCAAGAAGTTTGTTGGTAATGACTGTTTAATAACCAGCTGCTAACATGATTCCGACACTAGGGCACAGTGAAACCAGTAGTGTACATTCTCTAATGAGGAAGGAAAAACATTTACTGAACCTGTTTGATGTGATCAGCCAAGGTTTTGCTTCAGTTACTGTGATACAAATGCTTAATGCTAACAGGGTAGGCAGATGTCACATGTCACTAAAATACTTTTTAAAAGGTTCCCGGTTTTTTTTTATAGAAATAACAGCCTATTTCCAGTCTGACAAATCACAGTACTTCTGGGCTGTAGGTGCTTAAGTTCTTGTGTGGTTCTGTCCCTATATTTAAGCATCACTGTAATCCAGAACTCCCCAACTAAGCAGCCACCCAACCCTGTAGACATCTTGGCAACTGTATGTTTGCCACAAAAGGTCCCTGGGCCTTAAGTTTCAGCTTGTGGGTCTGCACATTGCTACATCAAGCATCATGTCAAAACCCTAACACGTAATATTCAAACAAGGGCATGACTGGAATTCCCTGCCTGTCTTGCCTGTGGGGCCCCATCCGATAAGTGTGTTCTTAGCCTGCTTAACTCCACACCAAATGACAGGGAAGTAACTTGGCCTTTCTTCTTCAAACACTGGAAACTTCCCTCCCTTCCCTCCATGTTAAGTCCTGTGTTTCTTTGTGAGCGTCACTCAGAACAGGCCAAGGGACCACATTCTTTGCTGGCTCTTAGTGAGGATGATGATGCTGGAGATATAGCTGTATGGAAACATACTCATGTGAAGAGAAGCCTCGGAACTAGAGCAGCAAGAGCGCTCACTGGCTGTTCCCTCAAGTTGGATTCCTCAACACTGTGCAGTAACTATCTGTAACAGGGTAGATCAGGCAACACATAATACAGCCCCAAGAGGGACAAGTCTCTGATGAGAAATCCAAGTGACAGCTGTTTGAGGATGAATAGGACATCTGAAACAAAGGACATGGCCACTGACATATTTGGAAAACCAAAACTCTGTCACTTAATTCCTTTAGTCAAGGAGATTTAAATATAAAACCCCCAGAGGTTAACACAAATTAAATAGGAAACGTTATACCTGAGTACACCTTCAGTATACTCCACTGGCAGGATGACCTGTAGAAGTGTTGCCAAATTGTAAAAGAATTGAAAGATCTCAAGTCTCCACCAGCAGATCAAACACTAAAAAGAACCCTGCTTGCATGACAAAGTTTTCCATTCAAAAAACCTTGATATAAACATATTACATAAGGAAGTAAAATACGTAATTCTTTCTTGTTATGTTAGTGAAGCAAATCATTTGCTGACAGAGGCAGAAACTAAACACACTGGGTGCGTCTAGACTGGCAAGATTTTGCAAAAATTTGCCGCCTGTCTACACTGGCCACGAGACTTTGCGCAAGAGCACTGACGTTCTAACGTAAGAATTCAGTGCTTCTTGTGCAAATACTTTGACGCTCCCGCTCAGGGATAAGCCCACTTGCGCAAGAGGGCCAGTATAGACATGCACCTTAATTTTTTGCGCAAGAAAGCCCGATGGCTAAAATGGAGCTTTCTTGCGCAAAAGCGCGTCTATACTGGGCACGGATGCTTTTGCGCAAAAGCACTTTTTGGTAGATGCTCTTTTGCGGAAATACCGTTAAAAGTATTTCCGCAAAATCATGCCAGTCTAGACGCAGCCACTAACTTTATCTTATTTGTTCAAATTCTTCCTGTGAAATTCATTTGTCTTATAATAAAATAAGATTAATTGGGGACATATTTAGGATGCTGTGAACATCTGAGTTAGGAGTTTATTGACTTATGTTGAGCACTGAAATCTTGTATTTTGAATTAGTATTTCCAGAATGTTTGCCCAAATTGAGGCAACTATCAACGATAGTTACATTTGTATGACTTTTAAAATGTATTCCTCTTACTTGTACAGGTTTTTCACTGTGGTCTATGGAAAGTTTCCATATTCAGTGTCTTCTAGTGACACTGAATTAATTTTAGGACTAGTTCCTTGTGTTAGAATTTTGATGTTTCCTTTCTGAATGCTATATCCCTATTGTGCCCTCATTTAGACATGGAACCAATAAATTTTTCATCTTAATTAAGCAAGACGGGCTTGTAAATCCTTGCTCATGCTTACTCACTGGACAGCTGCATGGTATTAGCTAGGACCCGCCTCGCCTGCTTTGCTCCTGAACAGATCTCCTACATCCTGTCATTCCAAAGTGTCTCTTTCTCCCCAGGTCACCTCATACAAAGCTATCTGCTGACAGTGCTCTACTCTGCAAAACATGGCACTTAACGGACATCACGGGCTGAAGAGCGAACCTGTTTCCTGTGTTGTAACATCACAAACCCATCAAATAACAAATGAATTAGAAGAATTAAATACCTGTTTCCTACTCTCACAATCTAGAACCAAGTGTTTAAATCCCCCAGGCTCTCTGATTGGCCTCCTCAGTATGTATTTTATTATAACAAAATCCATTCTTGGCCATTGATAGTCAATATAAGGGAGTGAATTCCCAGTATACTGCACAATTTTACCCACAAACTAACCCATTAAAACTATGATTATATGCTACAAACTGCAGCCCATAATGGAAAATAGCCATTTTATAACTGCCATTTTAAGGTAGCCTTCTGAGTATATCAGTACAGGGAGTAGGGTGTTGCTGTTTTTATTAAATGAATTTTAGTGCTAATAAAAGGTGCCAGATGAAGAGCACTGAAAACTGAATTGTCTGTCACCCTAGACCAGGTAGACAGGGCGGCAGCAGTGCATGCTAATGTAGTTTCCCTCTGACCTTGATTCCTTTGCTAAGGCTGCCAACAAGGACTCAAACAGAAACTCAAATTACAATAGCAGATTTTGCAATATGGACACATGCCCAATGAGAATGTGAGGTAACTGAGACTCAATTAGTGTTGCCAATTTTTACCATCTTTGGTGTTTTTCTTAAAGACCAAGCTGCTGCAATTAGATTGGCAACTAAGAATCTCTGCTGATGTGAGTGTGGGTTTTTATTTTATTTTATGTACACCTTCTAGCCCTCATTTCTGGGGACATAATCTTGAAAATGTGACTGCTGAACATTCCAACATCAGGAGGCAAATTCAAAGAATCAAGCCTCATGATTTTTAACTCAATTTCATTGACGGGGTGGAAACATGATTTTTGAATGGTTGGGGTTGGCAATACTGTGCCAGCTACTACCAATGGGAGCTGCAATTGTTAAAGAGAAACAGGGCAGCTCTATTATACAGGCAAGAGCAGCATGGGGCCACCAGGGGCAGCAAAGTCCTCTGTAACTTGGTATGAGCGAGGGGGGGCCGAGTAGCTATTTGCCTGAAATTGGCCCAAAATGAAAGGCTCTTTGCCTAGGATCAGCCCTCCAGCCCCGCTTCATTCCTTTGGCAATGCTGCCAGAGGCCTTTGGAATTCCGTACTTCCACACCGCACAACGGCTAGCGGAGAGGGGCTCATGTTTTCCGTGTGTAGGGCTGCAGGGCTGGGCTCCTCTCGAGGGAGTGTCATGAACCCCTGCGTACACAGAGAGGAAAGCCAGCCCTGGTCACTGCTCTGTCCCGCCAGCGTCGGGCGCGATCCGTGCGATTCCGCCGCCAGATGCGGGGTTAGCATGGGTTGCTCACGACGTCGCAGAGGGCTTCAGCCGGCCCGGCACAAGGTGGTAGGGAAAAACTGTAAATAATGGTATATTTAGGACAGTTACATTTGTTGTGCTATGTAAGATTTATAGCGTAGTATGAAAATGCAGCACCACTGGTCACTAACCCACACTTATATACATCATAAAAGCAAGATACTTGTCAAAACACTCAGGATGTGTATTTTTCAGTAAAAAGGCTTAATTAAGCAATCCCTTTCCTTTCTAGCTGATGAAAAATTGTATATGGAACAAGCTGAAGACCAATATTTCCTGCTCCTCAACTACCCTCTGTCCCCCCCTCCCACCAAATGCAGAAGTTCTATCAATTTCAGGGTGAATAATTTGCCTGAGATTTTGTTAGTATTATTATCAATATGACATGCTTCCCTCAAAACAACAATGTTGGAATATTAATTCCTTTGGGAAACACTTCTGGATACCAGAGCGATTTTTATTTCTATTCATAATTCTTACCAAAAAGACAGGATTATTGATCCATACCATTACAAGAAGATTGACTGTTGCTATTGTAAAATACATCAACCTGCCTGAAGCATCCAACATTACTGGGGGAAAAAGTGCAGCCAGAAATACATGCATGTTTGTTAAGTACTGTAAGATGATTGGATGCCAAAGTGCTATAAAATACAAGCTATTATTATTACTACAATATATTAACTAATAAAATAAAATGTTAGCAGAAAAAAAGGATCTAGCAGTGCTCCATATAGCTTTTAAAAATATGTTTGGAGACATACTATTACATATTCAAACTCTATTCCATTTCTTGTTCTATTATTTACAGTAAAATAAAATGCTCGTGGTTTTTTTTTTAAATCTGATGAGTGAAGAAGCCAAGTTTAAACGCTTCATGGTTTTAAAACCCAAACTGGATTATTTGGGCTGCGCAGAATTGACAGATTTCAATTGTAATTTTAGAAACAAATAAATTAAGCCTACCTTCTTGACTCCTTGATTTAGAAAGGTTTGAGCAAAAGCTTCCAAAACACAGTTGAGCAACCCTGCTCCTGTAACCGAAATCCTCCCTTTCTGGACGAACTCTGTCCTATAAAACAGGAATATAACATTGTAATTCTCTAAATGCACAGACAGTAATATTATGAAGTATACTTTAGAAAATAGGAATTAAAAAAAATCAAAATTCTCTGCTTAGATTCAGACAAGTGAATTGGGGAGAAAAAGAACTTTACATTATTATACCTCAAAACAATGTTATTGTTGTAAATAGGGTTGACAGGTGTCTGGTATTCACCCAGACAGTCCAGTATTTGCTGGCTCCGTCCAGTTAAAAAAAAAAAAAAAACAGAAAATACCCGACACGTGAAATGTCCGGTATTTCCTGTTTCTCTCGGATGGAAGCCCAGAGGGGACAATTTTCCCCTGCCGCATCTGGTAGGGGTGAGGGAGTGAGGAGCACGGCAGAGTGGTAGCAAAGGGGAACAGGAGGGGGCACTTTCCGGGCGCCATGCTAGGGGAGCACCGGGCTAGGCTGGGTTTGGATTGGAATGCATGCTGCCCTGGTCCACGTGACTAGCAGAGATCCGGGAGGTGGTCATGTGATTCCTCCCTCTACATACTGTGAGCTGAGGCAGCCAGGCCAGGCAGCAGGAGCAGCAACTTTAAAAGTAAGATTAACTTATCTAGCCATCCCTTTCTTCTGGCGCTGGGGATTCCTGGCTTTGGGGGAGGGGTGAGTGCATTGGGATGGGGGTGTTAAGTTTGAAAGTTTTATCCTTTTTATATTTGTATTTTTATGTTTAAGAATGTAGCAATGTAAGGTAACATATTACATTTAAATTAAGCCTTTTAGTAAGATAATAATATATATATTAAGATTAGTAAGTAAAGAGACAGGATCTCATATTGTGTTTATGTTAATAAAAATAGCGGAGTGTTGAAAGCCTGAGCCTTCAGTGTGAATTGTTTTAATTACAAAATTTAGTAAGGCAATTTACAATGCTGTTTGCTTTTTGTTTAATATAAAACTTCACTGATTATAACTCTGTGAAAAACTGTTTATATGAATGAGATATGGTGTGAAGGTCATTGTTAGAGCCAGATGGTCAAGAGAGAAGGGGGAGAATGCGGGGTGAAGACAAACTGTAAAAGACAGACTGCAAAGAGACATATCGGCATCAGAGAAACCATCAGCGCGTACCCATGGTCAAGAATTGATCAGATTGGCAGATTGACAACTCTAAAGGTAAAGGCATCCCTAAAAACAACTGATTAACAATCCAGGACAGGATGAGCCTCATGGAGATGTTTTGGGACATCAACAAGATAACAGTAACTGGTCACGGGCTGACAGTGCAATCCATAGACTTCAACAGAGAAAAGGATTATAAAAGCAGGGTGCTTTGCTATGGAACTTTGGGTTCGTCTTGCCACCAACTCCAGAGGAGTATCAGATCGATCGACCGACAAAGGCCCTGCTCCCTCTCTATGTTCCATCTAGCTGTCCACTAGAATGATACAGACTCTGGACTGGTAACTGACATTGTCTGGAAGGACTGTGTATGCATGGTGTTTGAGTGTGAGAGTGATTGAAAAGCAAATGCAACTGTTGTACCTCAATAAATGCGGCGTACTGTCTTTTTCCTTATAAAAGATCTCGTGTGCTTCGTTTAAGTATAACAGAGGGACTGGGGAGCCTGGCTTAGGGGGAGGGGTGGGTGTATTGGGGGTTAGTGTATGACCCCAAACTGGAGGGAGTGGCCCCCGACTCCAACCTCCTTCCCTCTCCCTTTTTTTTTTTTTTTTGGGTTAACAACTTTGGTCTCCCCTTTTTCCTCCCCCCTCCCAACAATTTTTTCCTGTTTTTGTTTTGTTTTGTTTTTTGAGGGGAAGGGTGTTTGGTATTTTTTGTTAAACCATCTGGCAACCCTAGTTGTAAAATTAACGGTAGTGAAAGATGTAGCAGAAGTGGTGGGTGAGGCCCAAAGCAATGAAAGATGACTCCACCTTTCTTTGGGAGGCAAGTGTCATACTGACAGTCTTGAATACTAACAACCCTTTGTATCCACAAACCAGCAGCAGTAAAGCAAGTTTAATAGCCACACTGCATACCGACAAGCAACAATCATAACCTGGAAGTTTCTAAATGTCTAAGGGTAGTTCAGTCTCTATGACCTGGCTGAGGGTGCCAACTAGGGGACCAATTGTGACCTTGTTCAATTTTTCTGGGCCTCAAAGTTCCTCATCTGTAAATGGAGCTGAACCAAGCATATTTGTTTTGTCCTTCAGATTGGTGCAACTTAATATAACAATGTAATGGGGTCAAAGAATGATGCTGTTGAAGGCACAGATGCTAAAACTAGGGGTTTTGGGGATGTGGCCACACGCCCTGGCTTGAAATGGTTTCCATTACATACAGGGTTTACAGCTTAGTTCAATTGCTCTCCGTATCCCCCCACTATATGAACTGTTCCAGCACCTGGCAAAGTGTTCCCAGAAACAGGAGTGTAACCACAACAGATAAAGTCACTATGAAAACCATGGTCAGGCCCAGTCCTGATTTATTTATATTTCTTTTTCTGCTCCAGGAGATAACAAAAAAAAGCTCATGGAAAATATTGATCACAGATTGATTCTTGTAGCACACAGCTGGCAATGCCACATCATTACAACAACACAGTCACAGGGAGAAGTCTATTAATGAGATCCAGCTACTAAATTATTGACTAGTTAAGTACTGCAAATTTGTCCTAATTGTTTTTGTGATGGGAGTTTAATTAAAGTGTCTTTAGTACAAAAAGCCTAGCAATATTCTTATTCAGACTGTGTCAAAGAATGTTCTCACAGCTTGCTTGGGCTTTCAAAACTAAAATTGGAAGCTATATCAAGTGTGAGGTCCTCTGGTGAGGAAGCTTCTTAGTGAAAATTTATGAAGTGTCCATATTAGGGATGTTTCAATTAAACAGCTAATTGAGTACTTGATGGAATTTCCATTGGCTACTCGATTAGTCAAGGCGAGGGGAGTGCTCGCTATCCCCACTGTACCTGTGCCTTTTAAACATAGTAAGAGCCGCCTTATTGGGGAGTTTAGTCACTACTCAGTTAGTTGCTTCCCTGCCCTTGCCACCCCTATATCAGTCAGAGGAG